TTGGAAAGAATTTAAAAAAAAAAAAAAATGTTCCTAGAATCTATATGAGAGGTCCTGTTAACAATTTTTAACTGTACCACTGTTGTAAAAACACAGGGAAAAATATTATAAACTTCAATTATCTTTTTTTTTTTCTTTTTTAAGTTTTTATTGTGAATTGAGTGATAGTTTACATGGGGGAACATCAGTTTTACACTCATCATTTCACTGCAACGATTACAGTCTCCTTAAACGTCATTAATCTTATCTAGAAAATATACCAGGGTAATTTTGTTCTTCTAACAACTGTTCAATTTTCAATCCCCAGGAAGATTTCTCTGTGCTTCAGGCTTCAGATTAAATGCTGATACTGGTGGTACCATTACGAGACAAAACAAGAATGTTTCTATAACCCAGATGGAGAGGTTAAAATCCTCTGGACTCTCCTTCAATGAAACTAAACCTATAAACTGATGTTTTAATAGCTAATTTTCTGGGGATCACAAGATTTCTTTTTGCATATGCCCTTGATGGAATTAATGACAAAGAGAGAGAAAAGCATATGCTTAAATGCCTGGGGGCAACTATAACAAAGGACGAAATTACAGTTTATTAATGCAATTCCAGCACTCACAGCATATTGCTTGCTCTTAATATTCTAAAAAGAACATGCATTACACAATCAAATCTCTGTAACTAATGTGCTTATATACATGAAGAGGGTGACATTTACCAACTAAATATTGGTCAAAATAGGAGCTAACATTTAGACATCTGCTTTAAAGAGAGGCTTCTCTTCCACCTGCTTCTTCAGGCCACAAAAATACAGTCTAGTTAACATATACTGACAGGATGATGAGAACACTCCTGTCAGATGCTGGCCAGCCGGGTGTTTGAGACAAAATGTACAGCCCCAGCTGACTAGTTAAAGAAAGTCTGGTGAGGTACAATTACAGAGGCATATGACAAGGCGTCATGCCTGACTGATTTGAGAACCAATGACATGGCTTTAAACAGCAATCTTCCCTACCTCTGGTCACAAAACAGCAATAAGTCAACTGATATACTCTTGTAAAATCATGATTTATTCTTTGCTTTGAATACACGAGATTCTGGCATGATGTTATGCTAGTCTACCTGAGGTTCACTGGGGCTTAAACATCCAAGGCCTGCCTACAACATGCATAAAATCAATTTTCAAGTTCCGAATTACCAGAAAACCCTTCTCTGTATATTTAATAAAGTATAAATCAGTAGAATAAAAGTAACAGTGATTATGTCCAAATTCACACAAATCAAATACATAAAAATGTAATTGTTGTTGTTAAGTCCCGTTGAGTCGGTTCCAACCCATAGCAAGTCTGTATAGCGTTTCCTAGGAGCAACTGGTGAGCTTGAATTGCCGACCTTGCAGTTCAAACCAACTTTGCAGTTCAGCGCATCAACCCACAGCACCACACCAGGGCTCCAAAAATATAATTTGTTGTTGTTAAGTGCCATTGAGTCGATTCCATTCCATAGCAACTCTGTATAGGGTTTCTGAGGAGCAGCTGACCCACTGACCTTGCAGTTCAAACAGCGCCACACCAGAACTCCACGGTGCCACATAATCACACTTAATTATAAGGGTGACGATCCTTTCAAATCTAAAACATAATAATATTCTTGGTATTTTTGTCTATGTATATCTGTCTCAAAATAGGGGAGTACAGTGACTCTGTACTGGATATGCACTCAAGACTGTGAGCCACAAGGTAGGTTTTTGCTTTGCGGGAGAAAGATGAGGCATTCCGCTTCTGCAATGATTTACAGCCTCAGAAACCATATACAAGGTTGCAATTACTACGAACTGATCTGATGGCACTTAACAACAACAAAATCTCAAAACTTTTTTTTTTTTAATTTTAAAGTTAATCTCTATAAAGATTACTATTTATAATTATTAAAACCAACAGTACTTAAAGAAATGAGTCTTTGTTTTAGCTGATTCTCTACCAGTGTATCATTACTAAAACCCCAAGATGGTATAAGATTGATAAATATTTGATAATCATTGGAAAATTGTGCTTGTTGAAAAGTCAATTATCCAGGCAGATAAAATCCCTGAAGTTACCACTTATAAATGTAATGATGCCTTAATTTATACACGTTCTTTTAAGAACGTAGGCTATAGATGTAATGAAACGAAAAATGGGTAAAATACGAAGGGGTCTCAAACTGTTTAGGGAAAAATTCCATTATCTTTTAATTCTAGTCTTCCATGAACTTCATTTGATTTCTTACACTGTAAGAATATTACAGCAGTCAAAATACATATAAAAAATTTCAAGTAAAAAGCTTAAAGGTAAGTGAATTCATTATTTTTAAAGTAAGTAAATTCCTTAATTACTCTTGCTTGGATTTCATTAAACTTTTTTGTCTAAATTAGCTTATTTCTAATTTATGTTATGGTACTAGTCCTTGACCTTAAATGTTACTATGCATAGAATTTATAGGAGATACATTTATATGAAGAATTTTTTCAAGCTAGATTCAAGTAAATCAATTGCCCCCACATAAGAAGGATAAGGAGATCATGAAAGAGACCTTGAATTATGTTTCTTTTATCAGTTCTATTGCCCTAAAGAATGAACCAAAACAGAGTTGGTAGCTAAGATGTGACATCACCATCAAGTTTTCATTCACTGTCATAAACACTTGGTAGTATGTTGACCTCACAGAGAGGAAGTAGATCCCTGAATAGTACCAACCTTTACTATAACAATTTGTTTCTTAAGTCAAATAAAGTTAAAGCTAAAAGCCGTGCATATTAACAAGGCTTTACACTAAACTACTGATCTGGGCTATTAGAATAATTACAGCTCATAATCATTGTATATTTATCTTTCATAGGCTTAAGTGTGAGCACTTCATATTGTGTGTGTGTGTGTATGTGTATACACTTTAATGCTCACAACAACCTTATGAGATTAAGACTACTGTTTACCCCTATTTTACAAATGAAGAAACCAAGTTAAATAAGGTTAATCAGCAGTTAAGAGGTGAATATGACTTACAAAAAGAAAGGTACCAATATTTTTAGAAACAGACACAGATTTATTCATAATGTTTTCTAAATAGAGCAGCTTGTACTTTAATTCACATAACTCATTCCTTCACTTCCTTCTGATCTCTTTTTCAAATATTATTAGGGAGGTTTACTATGACCACTCCCTATATAAACAAAATTGTGCCCCTTGTCTTCTGTAGTACACAATGTATTCAGTATATCCTTTACTCCTTCGTGGTTGTCATATGATATAATAGTTAATAATGCATACATTTGCGTATTCTCTGTTTCATTCTAAATGTACAGAAGCTCTAAGAGGATATGAATTTGACTTTGTTTACTGCTGAATCCTTAGAACAGCAAAAGTGCTGGTACACAGCAGGTGCCTACTAAATATATTTTTACATGAATTAATCCTTTCAGAAATTTGTTTCTTAAGCCTACGTAAGTTTGTACAAACTTTTAATCTTGAGGAAAGTGTCCATATAGAAACATCCTTTACAATCTTGAGAAAAATCATGTTTAAAAAAAGAAAGAGAAGGAAGATAGGTTTGACCCCAATGGTAAAACATAAAAGTACTAAATTTTTCAGATTGACTTTCCCAACATTATTTGAGAAACTGCAAAAAAATACTTATGTCATTGACTAGTATTTATTCTCTGATGTTATTACATCATTTCTCCACACTTACTCCTCTAAATGCATATGACAATATATTTTTTCAATATGTAAATTATTTCCATTTTTTTAAAAAATGGGCATTTCAATACTACAATGTGAAAATTTCCTAATTAAATATACTTTCAGGCTTTTGTTTGTTGTTGGTAAGTGCCATAGAGTTGGTTCCAACCCATAGAGACCCTGTATAGGGATTCCAAGAAGTGACTAGTGAGCTTGAAGCGCCAACCTTGTGGTTCAAACAGACTTTGCAGTCCAGCATATTAACCCACAATGCCAGTAATTCTAGAGTTATAACCAGAAGACCCAAATTCACATTATCTGTTCCCAGTAAATTGTTTGGGTTTAGGGTGGCCATCCAACTTCTATGAAAATAGATTCCTCATTGTTATAAACAGTAGAGAAATCCTAGCACTCCTTTTTTAGGATAAGGTTTTAATTTTTACTGAGAAGACCAAAATATTTTTTAATATAAATTTATTTTAATAAATTAAGCAAATTTATTTAAAATCTCATAATATTGAATAATTGTTTTTCATAAAATACCTCACAGATTGTTCAAAATCAAATTTAAGCATATTAAGGACTAAAAGGCAAAAATATATTTTTAATGCTTATGGTAGAAAATAATTGAGGAAATATAGCAAATATTTTTTAATGCTTTACTATAACCCGAGAAAAACACTTCAACTCTTACTGCCCTTATCAAAGTTAAAAAAAAAAAAAAAATCTTCCAAAAGAACATTTTAGTGAATGGCAGAAAACCTGTGATTTAAAAAAAAAAAAAATTAAAATGCTACTTTGACTTTTAAGTTATTATCAGTATGAAGAGCTCTTCCGAATCAGAACTATTATAGAATCTACTCTGAAACCGCTACTCAGCAACAAAGATGAATCTACCTATTACCAGGTTAGGATAGCAGCTATTATCATGGCCCCTTGATTTCTTTCAAGTAGCTCCAATGGAAAAAGCCACAAGTGAATAATAAAGATCTCATAATAGCTCTTAAGAATTCTTTATATAGTGGAAAGCACTAAAGTGAACTCCAGAGAGTTAAAAAAAAAACTCTCATCTCCTGATAAGAAAAAATAATTAACCTGACTTAATGCATCTGAGAAGGCCTTCTATAAATCAGACTTTTGTACTTCAAGAGCCAGATTAGGACCATATATCAAAAAAAGTATGTAGACATTGTCTTATAAGTACACATTTCTAAAATTGCAGAGGTTTGTAGTGCTTTTTGTGAAATGCTCAATACATTCTGCTCAAAAGGAGACGTGTGAAGTACTTACAGTGCTTAGTTTGCTAGAGGTAATAATGATGCGCCTTTCATGCAGCATACTGGCATACAGTTGCAGCATATTGTTCACATCCACAGCAACAAAATATTCTGTAAGATTTCTCTGTGCAAGTGAAAAACAATTGTGTGAGATATAGCTAATGATGAGTATAAAGAAAAGCATTTTATATATTTACAAAAAACTCAAAGCTCAAAGCATTTTATTATTAAAATGGTATTCATTAAAATAATTAAACTCAATACTTTTCTGCTGCCACATGGAACACACAACATTCTATTACTATTGAAGCATAACTCTACTCCAAAAAATTTTTCTCAGAAAGTAATATAAGATTACATACTTACCACCCTCCCAACCCAAGTACTGATATAAGAGTCACATAACCTAGACCTGCTTAAATTATAATTTTTTTTAGTATGACTTTAAGAAGCTTCTTTTTAAACAACTATTACTGATGATTCTCATAGACACTGCAATTTTAGAACCACTGCTTCAGTTAATGCATTTGAGCCTTTTTCTGTTTACCATTAGCTCAACAAGGAACTCTTTGGTTTAATGGTTAAGTACTCAGGTTGGCAATTTGAACCCATCTACAGAAGGATATCATGTTTGGTAAGGTGGAAGGTCAGAGAAAAAGAGGAAGACCTTCAATGAGATGGAATGGCCAAGTGGCAGCATCGATGGACTCAAACATGGCAACAGTAGTGAGGTTGGCCCAGGATAGGGCAGTGTTTCGTTCTGCTGTGCATAAGGTTGCTAGGGGTCAGTACCAACTCCATGGCACCTAACAACAACAAACCAGTTCCAGCAGAGAAAAGATTTGGTGATCTGCTCCTGTAAAGGTTGTTGTTATTTTTGTTGTGAGGTGCCATCGAGTTGGTACCAACTCATAGCGAGGGACTTTATGCACAACAGAATGAAACACTGCCCGAACCTGGGCCAACCTCACCACAGCCTAGAAACTCTGGCAGGGTCCTTCTACTCCCACTCTGGGGCACTATAAGTAGAAAATCAACTCAGCCACACCTAACAATATGCACTTAGTACTCAATATTACTGACTCATAATATGTAACTCAAGGACACCTAAGGACACTCACTTAGTACTCAATATCATGACTCATACTATTTATAGACCTCCCAATGGATAAAGTGTATTTATCAGGAAATCCTTTGGTTCCTTATTGAGGGAAATTCTAGAGTTATATCCCACATTAGGTCTGCCTCATATCACTATAAACAAATATACTTTTTGGTCTAATTCAATTATTTGATTAAGCATTTTAAAATTATTTCACACAAACAAGAACACATCATAATAGATTATATCAATGGTAAAACATTTAGATCCTCTCATTGCTTAATTTGCATTTTCTGTATTTTAATGCGAGCATTTAAAAACAATAAAATGATGAAATAATTAAAAATATATAGTAATAAAGTGACAATGTAGAAACAGGTAAACCATGGCTTATAATGCTAAAATTTCTAGTTGAGCAGGAAATTATGCTATTTCTTCAATTTCCAAAAAGCAGAAACTTCACCAGGCCAAACTGATAATCATGGGAGGGCATATCAGGAAGCCATAGAAGCATCAGTGAGTGATACTGACTTGGACGAGGAGACGTTTATTTCCTATTTTGTTGTTGATGTTTTCTACTTGAAGGCAACAGTATTCCAGTTCAACTCTCTATTAATAAAATTATTTTTTATAGCTTTTGGCATTAATATTTTTCTTACACTTTCAAATAAATATTAATTCTAGGTAGGGAGTAACTTCTCAACACAGAATGCAACCTTTTATGTTTATGTCATTGCAATTTTTTTTTTTTTATCAGAACTTTTTCTTCATGGACAATTTCAAAATGAAATTTATTAATAAAGATGCAAAAATCCAAACTCACAGAATCATGGATGTAAAAATAGAAATCCTCAGTTTATTTTAGAATGTCTGTTTTTTTAACCTTATTTTAAAATAATAACCTTTTTGAAAGATTATTCAATCAAGCTATTAACTGTTGAATGGTAAATATTAGATATGGAAAATAGGTAAGTTGGTTGAAAGTATAACTCTTACATTGTACTAGCAAGTCTGAAGGGAAGAAATCAGGGACCCATAATCAAGGAATGGTCAGTCAGAGTCATGGAAAACATCATAGGGGATCTTGACCCATGCTATGCAGCACACAACTCTTTAGAACTATTAACTGGGCTGGTTACTACGATGGATATCTCAGGCCCATATAAGAGTAACTTGATGCAAAGTCTTTCATAGGGAATATCGAGATTCAACTGTACTAAAAATAATATTGATATTGATTTGACATTAGAAAACTTATAACTGTCATCTTGGATTCAATTCATTCACTTATTACGTTATCCAGGTGCTTCTGCAAATGTAACACTCAGTTAAGTCTGAAGATATTTCTTGGAGAATAATAGAAATCTAAAGAAAATAAATATATCTGGAATTAAACTGTATTGATTATTCTTTTCTTTTTATTGAATTATTTCTCCTGACTCACTTTAACGTTCCAGAGGAAACTGAAGACATATTATATAAAGGAATATTTCCTTTTCTTTCTTAGTTATCCAAGAGCCTAAAAACATACTTGTCATTTCAACTTATACACATAAAATTGTCTACAAAGTATTAATTTTTAAATAATTTATAAAGTTTAAACTTTTTAACAATTATTAAAATACAGAAAACAATCCCAGCAAAGCTACAACTAGAACTCTAAATAAAATGCAGATTTTGTAATTTTTAGAATATCACTCAAGTCCTACAAAATACTATTATCTAAAATTAATATCAGAAAATTGAGTACAGGCCATCTAAGATTCAAACAGTTATATACATAGAAAAAATATTATAGTTGGTACACTGAAGTAACCATATCTTTTATTTTATGTAAAACATTTTCTAAAGCCAGTACTCATTTCATGCTAGCAGAAGCCATCCCCAAAGATATGTCCTATATTTCTTCATCTAATTGAATATGTGAAATCCTTCCTCACTATCCCAAAGGACAGAAATACTTTTTCCCCTATTTTTTTCCTCACCTACAATAAAATATTAGGAAGGGTGTAAAGGAGCTGATAACTTGTTACCTTTTCTTCATTATTTCTCACAAGCAACATAGGTAATTATACTTTTCTCTATACAAGAGTCCTTAAACAGTGAGAGCAAATAAATTATACTTGATCTAGATTATATACAGTAGAAAACAGAAAACTTACACTTTCAGGTATTGTTGGAAGTCCAGTTACATCAGGGGCAATGAAGTAGGAATGCTAATCAATAGAAATAAATCATATAAAAAAGGAAAATTAAACATTTTGTGTCATATTACACTTAATTTGAAAAAAAATCAGTTATTTTAAGAAATACTGTGGGTGAATACTCATAATTTATAGAATGTAAAAAGATCTTTAAATGAGACAGTGGGTTTACCAGTGACTTCACATCAATATTTTAATACAAAGAGTTAAGTGTTGGTTGAAATTATTTAAATTTAAAATTAAGCAGTAATATTTTAAGAAAAGAATCCTGGGGAAAATGAATTAAGCCAAAAAAAAAAAAAAATCATTACTAAAGATAATATGTCTATACGAAGGGGTTTCAAAAAATTCATAGAAAAATGGAATTAAAAGATAATTAAATTTTCCACAAACTTTTTTACATTCCTCTTGTATATACAAGTGTGCATGTATATATGTATGGAGTCCTGGTGTGGCACTGTGGGTTAATGCACCAGACTGCAAAGCTGCTTGAACTATAAGGTTGATGGTTTAAGCTCACCAGCCACTCCTTGGAAACCCTATAAAGGGTCACTATGGGTTGGCATTGACTTGACAGCACTTAACAACAACATGTATCTATATATATATATGTGTGTGTGTGTGTGTGTGTATATGTGTGCATCTATACATTTCGTTTAGCTGTTGTTGGTCTGGGGTGGTAGGACAGACACTCCAAGGTCAGTTTGAACTAGCCACCTCACCAGCCACTCCTACCTAAGAAACCCTGTATAGGATCACTATGGGTTGGAAACAACTGGAAAACACTTTCAACAACGACAACAAAATTGTTGTTGGAGTTCTGGTGTGGCAGTGTGAAGTAAAGCATTGGACCACAAGGTCGGTTTGAACCACAAGGGCAGCGGTTCAAACTTACCCGCCATTCCATGGAAACGCTATACAGGGTTACTATGAGTCAGAACAAACTTGACAGCACTTCACAACTAGCAACAACGTACTGACTCACAGCGACCTTATGCACAACCCAGAGAAACACTGCCCGGTCCTGGGGCAATCTCACCCGTTGCTACGCTTGAGCCCATTGCAGATACTACTGTGCCAATCTATCTCCTTGGAGATCTTACTCTTTCATTGACTCTCCACTTTACAAAGCATGATGTCCTTCTCCAGGGACTGGTCCCTCTCAATAATAAATTTGAAGTACAAGAGACAAAGTCTAACTACCCTGGCTTCTAAAGAGCATTCTGCCTGTACTTCTTCAAACACAGATTTGATTCTTCTTTCAGTTGTTGCTGTTGTTAAGTGCTGTCAAGTCAATACCGACCCATAGTGATCCTGTGTAGGGTTTCCGAAGAGCAGCTGGTGAGATTGAACCACCAACCTTGCAGTTCAAATGGCTTTGCAGTCTGTCACATTAACCCACAGCGTGAAACCTGAACTCCATTCTTTTAGTAGTTCCTGGTAATTTCAATATTCTCCTCCAACACCATAACTCAAATGCATCGATTCTTCTATGGTCTTCCTTATTCACTGTCCAACCTTCACATGCACTTGGGTCAGTTGCACCTTAATCCTCAGACTGACATCTTTGCTGTTTAACAGTTTAAAGAAGTTTGTGCAGCAGCTTTGCCTAATACAATCATTTGATTTCTGACTGCTGCTTCCATGAGCTTCCATGGCTGATCCAAGCAAAATGAAGTCTTTGACTACTTCAAAATCTTATCTCCATTTACCTTGATGCCATTTATTGGTCTAGTGGTGAATATTTTTGTTTTCTTTACATTGGGATGCAACCCATACTGTAAGCTGTGGTATTTGATCTTGGTCAGTAAATACTTTACATCCTCTTCATTTCCAGCAAGCAAGGTTTCATTATGTGCATATCGCAAGTTGTTTATGAGTCTTCCTCCAATTCAAATGCCATGTGTTCTTCATATAATCCAGCTTCTCAGATGGTTTGCTCAGCATACAAATAGAATGTTTTTGTTGTTAAGTGCCATTGAGTCAATTCCAACCCATAGCAACCCTGTATCGGGCTTCCAGGGAGCAGCTGGTGAGCTTGAACCGCTGACCTTGCAGTTCAAATGACTTTGCAGTCATGCATTAGCCCACAGCGCCATCAACAGTTTAACTATGTTGAAATAATACAACCCTGGTGTATAACTTACCTAATTTTAAACTATTCAGTGTTCCCTTGTTCTGTTCGAACAACTAACTACATCTTGGTCTATGTACAGGTTCCTCACATGCACAATTAAGTGTTCCAGAATACTTATTCTGCACAATTTAGTCCATAGTTCGTAATGATCCACGCAACTGAAAGTCTTTGCATAGTCAATAAAACACAGAAAAATATCTTTCTGATAACCACTGTTTTCCGGCAAGATCTATCTGACGTCAGCAATGAAGTCTCTCCTTCCATCTTGAAACTCTGGAAGTTCTTTGTCAATGTACTGTGATAGCAGTTTTTGAATTATCTTTAGCAAAAATTTACATGCAGGGGATATTAATGATTTATGATTTCCACATTTCATTGGGTCACTTCTCTTTGGAATGGGCATACATATGGATCTCTTCCAATTAGTTGACCAGGTAGCTGTATACCAAATTTCTTGGTCTAGATGATTGTTTCCAGTGCTCCACCAGTTTGTTGAAAATTTTCAAATTGTATTCCATCAATTCCTGGAGCTTTGTTCTTTGCCAATGCCTTCAATGCACCTCTGATTTCTTCTTTTCAGTATAATCGGCTCTTGATCATATGCTAACTCTTGGAATGGCTCAACATCGACCATTTCTTTTTGGTACAGGGACTCCATATATTCCTTCCATCTGCTTTTGATGCTTTCTGCATTATCCAATATTTTGCCAATGTGCGTAAGTTGAATAGTTGGTTGTATTAACTGGTCTTCCTTGTAGGCTATGGATATTATCCTATCACAGACAGTGCTGGACTTCAAGACAGATCTTGAAATTTTCTTTTTGATGATGAATGTGACACCATTCTTCTTGAATTTGTTGTTCCAGACATAGAAAGCATATGCCAAACACAAAGTGGCCAATACCAGTTCATTTTAGCTCACTAATGCCTAGGATATCTATCCTTGGCTAGATTCATACCTCATACATTCTGCTTTCTGATTAACAATGTATGTTTTAGCTGTTTCTCCTCATTTTCAGTTGTACATATCAGCAAATGAATGTCCTGAAACCTATAGTCTATTTGCATCATCACAGTCAACTCTATGTTGAGGAGGGAGCTCTTTCTCAGTAGTATATTGAGTGCCTTTCAACCTGAGGGATTCATTTTCTGGCACTGTATCTAACGATATTCTGGTGCTCTTCATCATGCTTCGATATACAAAATTCTGGTGCTATCCAACAAAGTTCCACGGCTACTCATAAGACTTTCAGGACTAAATATCTGAAAGTAGTCTGTCTCTCCTTCTTAGTCTGGAAGCTCAGCTGAAACCTGCCCACCATTGGTGATCCTGATGGTACATAAAATACCGGTGACATAACTTCCAGAATCACAGCAACATGTAAGCTACTGTCCAACAAACTGACAGACCAGTGGTAGATTGTTTAGTTAGACAGAAAAAATAAGGATCACTTGCTCACAATTATGTGTAAAGCTATTAAGATTCCTGAGTTCTAATGTAAAGTCAGAACAAATCTAATATTTTTGCACATCAACCACTACCCTGCTTAGAGACTAGCCATAAAACAAACATTTTTTATATGTTCTTTACCTTCCTAAAAGTATAATTATTCATCTGAAATCATGACTCTTCAAATACCCACTAAAAATAATTAGCTTTTAATCTGCTAAACCCTTCAATATTGCAACTAGAGACTTGAATTTTTTCTTCAATTTTCAGCCTGAGAAACATCAAGAGTGTTCTTTGCACTTTTCATTATAATAATTTAGTTTTTTAAGCAAACTTTTGAAAGCTTCTGTTCAGCTTTTCAGCTCTCTTACTTCATTATTTCTTTCATTTGCTTTAGTTATTCTTAAAAACAAAAAGGAAAAAAAAAAAAAAGGACAACACAGGAAACATCAAAAGAAGATGGGAGGAATATACAAAGTCATTGTATCAAAAAGAATCATTTGGCATTAAACCATTTCATGAGGTAGCATGTGCTCAAGAACCGATGGTACTCAAGAAAGAAGTCCAGGTTTCACTGAGGACACTAGTGAAATACAAAGCCCTAGGAATACATGAAATACCAATTGAAATGTTTCAGCACAGGACGTGTTCTCTCATCCATGCCAACAAATTCGTTAAGATGACTACCTGGCCAACAAATTCGTTAATATGACTGGTACAGATCCGTATTTCTGCCCATTCAAAAGTAAGATAATACAACAAAAGGAAAAAATTATCAAACAATATCGTTAGTATTAAATGCAAGCAAAAGTATGCTAAAGAGAGTTAAAAAAAAAAACACAGATACAATAGTACATTAGTAGGAAACTGAGAAAATTCAAGCTGGATTCAAAAGAGAATAAGGAACAAATGATATCATGGATGATAGATGGATCTTGGTTAAGAACACCAGAGAGATGTTTATCTGTGTTTACCTATTTTATTAAGGGCTTTTGAGTGTAAATCACACAAATTATGAAGAACATTGAAGAGTACAGAAATTCCAGGACACATAATTGTGTTCATGTGGAACCTGTACATACATAAGAGGTTCAATCTGAACAGTGGAATACTGCATTGTTTAAAATCAAGATAGGTAAGTCAGTGTTGTATTCGTTTATTGTATTTATTCAATCGGTATGCTGAGCAAATTATCCAAGAACTGCACTACCGGAAGAAGGAGGCAGCATCAGGATTCGAGGACGGCTCATGAACAACCTGTGATGTGTGGATGACACAACCTTGCTTATTGAAAGCATAAAGGACTTGAAGCACTTACTGATAAACATTAAAGATGATAGTCTTGAGTCTGTATTGTATCTCAACATAAAGAAAACAAAAATCGTTACAACTAGACCAGTAAGCAACATCAAGATAAACAGAAAATATTGAAGATGTTAATGATTTTGTTTTTCTTGATGCCCAAGCAAGCAGCAGTCAAGAAATCAAATGAGTATTGTATTGGGACTATCTGCTGCAAAATACCACTTTTAAATAACTTTGAGGACTAAGGTACACCTGGATCCAAGATCTGGTATTTTCAATTGTCTCATATAAATGCAAAATCTGGCCATTGAATATGGGAGACCGAAAAAGCATTGATTCCTTTTTGGATTATGGTGTCCTGAAAAAAGGACAGTCAAAATTCTTCCTAGAAGTAAAGTTGGTGAAACTTGGTCTCACATACTTTGGGCATGTTCTCAGGTGGGACCAGTCTCTGGAGAAGAACATCATACTTGATAAAGCAGGAGATGAGCTAAAGGAGGAAGACTTTCAATGAGATAGACTGGCACATTGGCAGCAACAAGGAGCTCAAATGTACTAATGATTGTGAGGATAGCAAAGGACTAGGCAGTGTGTCCATCTGTTGTTATGAGTCAGAACCAACTTGATGGGACCTAATAACAACTGTTCAAAGCAATACAACAGGTTTTTTTTTTAAAGTATATGAAAGTCATATTTTATACGTCCTTTATAAGTGCTATAATTTCACCAAATTTTAAGACCCAGAATCAGAGTATAACTAAATCACCATGAGTATTTTATTTTCTGTTTACATTAGTCTTTAAAAGTATTATTATGTTAACCATATGAGGACATACTTGAAGACTGGAAAAGATATATTTTAACCCATACTAAGTACAGCTGAATTAGTCAGAACAAGGCTAGTTAACACAACGCATCAGGTATAATTTTTCCAGAGAGGAAGAACAACACAAGATAAATCACAAGGTCTTCTAAGATCTTGTGACAAACAAATAATATGGAAGGAACATAATGGTGTGAAGGTGTTATAACATCACTACTATGGAAAGTGGAGACTAAGCATAAATTTAGATACTTTTATGTTGGGGTGGTTTTGAATAGCGCTGCAGTTTGTAATCATTATTCAAAAGATTGCTTAAACAGAAAATATACTCCAAGTGATAAAGTATTTAAAAGAGTCAAATTTACCATTTCCCAGAGGACTGCAGTGAATATTAAATAAAAACAGTGAAAGAAGTAATTATTTTTCCAATTTAATAGTGATTTTTTTTTTTAAGAATCCAGTGCTCTTTTAACTCACCAGTGCTAGGGTGGTCTGATTTCTCAAATATTGCTCACTGGCAATAAATATCTCTTGATTCTTATAGAATATGAGAGAAGAAAAAAAATATTTTACTTTGTTGGGAGAAGCTTATATAACAGTTTGCTGTGTACTTGAGACAAACACATATAGCCACAATGTACCATGAAAATACTTGTAATATTAATTATAAATGTTATCTGAAAAGCTAATTTGCCAAATACTACACTAAGAAAATCTGAAAGAAAAGATTTCCATACTGCAAAAATATAAAATATTGTACAAAATAAAAATTTGCATTAGATATTAACTTTTCATAGAATCTTTTCTGTGTTAGTTTAATGGCTATAATGTCAGGTCTTGAAACATTTATGGGAACTGGGTTCATGAAATATGAAGATATAAGAAAATCATAATAATATTTCTCTTAGGACTTGCAACATTTTTCTACTGGAAATTCTTCAAATAAAACTTAAGAAACAATTTTCTAATAACTTGTGGGGAAACAAAAATACTATGATCACCAATGTAATGTGGCATCATTAAATTACAAACTCTACTCATAGTTGAAGATAAATTCTAATTCCAGTTTTGCAACTCATTAACAGTACAGCACTGGACATCTTACTTTCATAGTCTATTGCTGAAATCAAATGAAATTATTGCATGAACTATACACAAACATAAAGTACTATTTTATCAATTCTTTTTCTCAAAAAATCTTTTTATTGTGAATTGAGCAAAGGTTTACAGAGAAGATAATCAGTTTTACATTCAGCAAATCATGCACTTTTTTTCATTTCAGTGATTGCAATCCCCTCCAAACACCAACAATCATCACACTTCATCCTCGTGGTTCTTGTTTCCACTCCACCCACTTTCCCATTCCTTCTCAAGTTTGTCCTTAGGTAAATGTTTCCCTTTTGATCTTGAATGATTGACCATTCCATGGTGAGCATACCTAACTAATGTTGTTGTTTCCCCTATATACCTATCTACTGCTGACTGAAAATTAGACCATGAGGGTGAGTTCCATTCCAGACCTGAAGGGTGGTAGAGGGCCATTGTCTCAGATTCCTCCAGTCTCTTTCTGAACTGTAAGCTCGGTCTTGTTTTTACAATTATGAGTTTTGTTCTACATTTTCTCCCACTCTATCCAGGACCTGCTAATCTTATAAATTCTTAAGACTTTGTAGTTTGAGAACAGGTTCACTAGGTTCAAAAGCTATCAAAGCCAATTGATTCAAAGGACTAGAAGTAAGACTTAAATGTGGTATTATCATACACAGATATAAAAGTCACTACAATTCCTTAAACAATATCATCTCAGCAACAATATAAGATATCTTCTCCACATATTTATAGCTTAAGATTTGGCAACTTCAATTCATTAACAACTGCCACTCAATAGCTCTTCCTGTCATGTCTACATACATAATTATTATAATTGCAAAACAACTTTGGGATTCTCTCTAAAGAGGTGACTCAATTTCTCAATTAGAGAAAAAAAGGATCATTAAAAAAAGATTCTCTTTCCTAACATAACATTTTTTAGTGACTGTGAGTCAAACCAAAATCTTCTAGTTCACTGCCCTTTCTATTTTACCATAAAGGTTTTCTATGTGCACAGATAAATTAGGTAAAGAAGTCTAGAATTCTATGATTTACAATTCTATTTATAAAGTTTAAATATTTCAATCTCCAGCATTTTTAACATGCATCTGTGTACGAGATTTATGTACTTCTGAGCTAATAGAATACTAAAATTTAAAGAGTGTGTTTTTATTTCTCATTAACAATTTACAACAAGTATCTCAATCATCTTAGCGCCTACACTTTCCTTAATGCTTTAACAAAATCAGTTTACAAATAAAACTCTCAAAGAAAATAACTTCTTTCTAGAAAATGCAACAAAGTTTTTCTTCATTTTCATTGGCCCTTTTCTTTAGAGTTTATGCTGCATTTCCATTAACCATTAACCTTGTATGTTGGCTTCCATGACCTATAAGTCTGAGGTTTCTACTTGACTGCTCCTCCTCATTCTTCCACTGGCTCACCTTTTTCTTCCATACAGCTGATTAGGGCAATTCCAAAATTTTAGGTGTTAACCTTCTGCCCTATGCTATATATACCCTGTCCTTGAAACAGCTCGATTATTCCTACAACTAAATGATTTCCAAATTTGCACTGAAAATTCCAGGGGATGTATCCTTAGCTCTCCTGCCGTCAATCTCCAAATGACTCCTAAACATGAAAACACAGACATAATGCAGGAAAGAAGTTCCCAGAAGAGAAAAACAGTTTAAGCTGTTATGACAATAGGTTTCACAAAAGAGGAAAATGAGCTAGGTGTAGACAAAAGATGAATATCCTACTACGAGTTATTATTTAAAAAAAAAAAAAAGGTATATGAGAAGCATATAGTTCATTCAAGATACTGAACAGTATAATGGAATCAGAACAGATAATCAATTTAAGGGGGAATTTAAAATATGTCAAAAGAATAAAAAGTTGGATTGAGGCTAAGAAGTAGATAGTCTTAAAAATCTAGCCAAGAATTTGAACAAACGCTATACAAAAGGTGGCGCCACAAAACGTTTTCAGCAGGAAATTTTATGACATTTAAGGAAGATTAATCTGACAGTCCTTTGCATAGAGGACTGAAATAGTCTCTATGCTAGCAACTACTGGGAGCACTAAACATCTGAACTAGGGTGCTGACAATGGGAATTCAAAGACTAGGATGATATAAGAGAAAATGTTGTTGTTGTTAAGCGACGTCAAGTCGATTCCGACCCATAGCAAGCAACCCTATACAGGGTTTCCGAGGCTGTAAATCTTTATGGGAGCAGAAAGCCTCATCTTTCTCCCGTGGAACTGCTGGTAGTTTCAAACTGCTGACCTTAAGGTTCGCAGCCCGATTTATAACCACTACGCTACCAGAGCTCCTTGTAAGAGACTGTATTTCTAAGTAAAATCAAATTACAGAGGAAAATTTAGCTAACAAGTTATTACCAAAGAAACAATGTGATCAGGATAACAATTTCTGTATTTAGCAAAAACACAAAAGACCTATTAATACTATGACATACATTCCAACTTAGTTTTCTTTTTAAAAAGTCCTCTTGGATCATTACATTTTTTTTCTTCTTTCTTGGAACAGAAGTTTATTATTCCTTTTGAGTAAAAGGAATAATCAAAATCAAGATGAATAAATTGCAACATTCTCTTCAGTATACTAAACTAATGAAGATGAATAAATCACTTACCTTATATCATCCTGAACTTTAAATATTTACAAAACCAAATATTTACAAAACCAAATTTTATCAGTCTGTTTTTATACAAAAGTAACAGAGTTCACTGAAAGCTTCATTACTAAATAATCAATTCCACTCATTGCATGCTTGCTGTTTTGACAAATTTTAATCATATTTCCAGTGTTTTGTAATTACACTATAATGTGTTTTGAATCAATGGGAAAGAAGAAGAGACTGCACTAAAAATTTAATTAGACAGTTACATGGAGTGTGGTACTATAGGATAAGCACTGGACCACAAGGTCGGTTTGAACCACAAGGTCAGTGGTTCAAACTCACAAGTTACTCCTAGAAAACCCTATAAAGGGTCACTATGTGCCAGAACAAACTTGATGGCACTTAACAACAATAAGAACATATGTTACATGGGAGTGCAGAGGCTCTGTAAGAATTTGAGCCCATCAGCAGCTCCACGGGAGAAAGCTGAGGCTTTCTGCTCCCAAAGATATCAGTCTCAGACCTTTACAGGGTCGGATGCTATGAGCCAGAATTGATGCAATGGTAGTTAATAACAATATGTTATACGCCATTTTCAATTCTCATTAAGTATTGTTACATTTTTTATTTATTATGCAACAATTTTAAAAATGTCCCTGAAGGAAAAGTGGCAAGATGGCAGACTACGCAGAAAGGCTGTAGGGAATCTCTCAACAAAGACAAGCAAACCAAGTGAAACAGATGCAACTGACAATCCTGGAGCTCTGAGCTACAGATGAAAGGATAAAGAAATGGACTGAGTACTTCCTAAGAAAGACAGCTGAGTAGATGCAGTAAAACAAGGAAAGACAGATGACCAGTGCCACCAACTAGACACGGAGCAACCATCTTGAGTTGTGAGACAATTCAGAGACAATAAAACATATTGGCATTGCAAAAACATACCTGTGGCTCACAGAGATAAAGGTGCAATTATTTTTCCTGTTCCCCATACTTGCTGGTGACCGGAGGTGAGGCCAGCCCCTACCAGAATACATCCCCAGGGAAGTTCCCACTCTACCGGTGGTCTGAGTCACATAGAGGTGCTCACAGCAGTTGTGAGTCCCATTAAAGGGATGGGGGGTAGCTATCAGCATTAACGTCATTCAGGCATACCCCTTTCTAAATCTGCAGAGTCAGCCCTGGTCTAGCACTCATGAAGCAGCTGAACAGACATGTAGGGGAGGGAAAAAAAAAAAAAAAAGACTGATGATTCTGGCCAGCCAGGCACACTGTGGCTATCGCTAATTATTGCGGTGACAATAAAGGCAAGAGAGCAGTAAGAGGAACAGAGGCATAGCAATTCCTGGTGGAGATAAAGGGGAAAAATTTTGTTTTTCTTGTATTTCACATTACTCTGGTGACCAGAGGTGTGGCCAGCCCTAACCTGCCATAAGCTCATGCTCTCTAGACTGTTGAAAACTCTCATCCAAGTGCATTGGGAGCTAGCAGCACCTACCCCGGCACCTGGAATCAGCTGTGGCCCATTCCAGACCAGCAAAGCCAGCTCTGGTCAGCCCTGGACTAGAAGGATCTCTTGCTCTTGGCTCCCCTCTAGGATGGAAACACTTGGATCCCCCAGATGATTTGGGAACTAAACAAACTACTTATGTACTGGGTGCCCAGAACAGGCACCACCAAGCTCTAAAGGAACTACATCTATGGTTGGTTGAATGTTACTGTCTCATTCCTTATATATCCACGATGTGAGGTCCCAGAATTTTCTCCTCTCTGGTCTGGCACCTGCCCTGGTTTTACTCCTTT